GCGGCTACCCGCTTGGCCAGTGGTACAAGGTCATGTGCGACGCCGAGACCAACTTGCTCTTGCCGTATCGGACTCAGGAGGCGCTCATCAGCCTCCGGGGTGGTCTCCGGCTGCTGCCCCAAGAGCTCTTGACCGAGTCAACGACCGCGCATGCCTACTGGGACGCATTTCTCACTGCGTACAAGTGCATCTGTTTGAACGCGGCGACGATTCCGCCCAAGTTTGTCATGCCGAGTTCAGAGAGTGTGCCCAAGGTAGCACATGGCTTTTTGCTCGGTGCGGCTATCGCCTCCGTGCGCAGCCACGTCCTATTGCACCCGGCGCACCGAGCGGCGCTCGACAAGCTCGGTCTCGCGTGGTCGACCTCGGTGCCGGAACCGGCGGCGGCTACGACACCCAAGCACCGCAGCTACCGGTGGCCAGAAAAGGTGCGCGCGCTGGAACGGTACAAGGCGCTACACGGCCACTGCGACGTCCCAGTGTCGTTTGTCGTACCGTCGAGTAGAGACTGGCCACAGGATCTGCACGGCTGTCGCCTTGGGTACTTGGTGTCTCGCTTCCACTCGGAGCTGTCGTCGATCCCTGCAGAATACAAGCCGGTCATTGCAGGCTTGACCGGTGCGTTGCTGCCAACGCCCGTCCGAACTGATTCGCAATCAATCGCGACGCCACGCGTGGGTGCGATAACGGGGCGTGCAAGCACCAGCAAGGACACACGTGCAGTCACAGACGCCTCCACCGGCAGCTCGAGCAGCAACCCTTTTGTCTACGACATGGCGAGCAGCAACAGTGATGACGATGCATCGGACGAGGAAGGTGAACGATCGACGCTTCGTGGCTTGTGCAGAAATCTAACTCGACCTCGTGGCTTGCGTAGACGACCTGGACTGGTCGCCGCCAGAACCAAAGCGACCGCGCGTCTCATCACCCATCGATGCTCTCAGAGAACCGGAACCCGAAGCCGCCACGCCGCGTCGAACGACGTTGACCGACCTCTCGCCACCGATCGCGCCTCCCCGCCCCACCATCGAGATCCCGCAACCGGTGTCAGAACCAACGAACGACATGACGCGCAAGCGACCGCTGTCGCCGCCGGCCAAGCCGCGCCGCGCTGGCACGGCCATCGACGACGACGCGTGGCTCGACGTCCTCTTGGCGCTCAAGGTCTACCGCCTGCTGTATGGCCACTGCAAGGTGCCCCTGTCTTTCTTTGTGCCCCGCCTCGACCACACGCCGACAGCGTGGCCGTTGCATTTGACGGGCATGCGCCTCGGCGCCGCCGTCAAGACGCTGCGCACGTGCTACCTTCCCGAGCGGTTCGTCTCGGCGCTTGATGCGATCGGGTTTGTGTGGCGCCAGGACGGTCGGCTCATCCCAACAGGCACGTCGCTCTTTGACGAGATCGACGCGGTACCGTTCGCGGCCATGATCACAGCACTCGAGGTCCACGTCGCGACGCACCAGACGACGCTGATCCCGGCGCACGCAACGTTTGTGCATACGAGTGTGTGGCATCGTTCCTGGACGTACGTTCTCGCCGACGTTGTGCCGGCGCTGGAAGCTCGTTTCTACCAGCTCTCGGACGTGCAAATGGCCCGTCTCCGGGACCTCGGCTACTGCAAGCAACTGCCGCTCTGGGACGACCTCATGGACCTCCTCCAACGGTATTACGAGCACGTGGTGCCGCCGGGCAGTGGCGTCGCGATCGATTTTGTCGTGCCACCAGATGCGATTGCGTGGCCAAGCCAGTGGCACGGTCTCGAGCTCGGGCTGCTCTTCTGGTCCGTCGGTCTCACACACACAACGACGTTGTCCGAGAGTCGACGGCGCGATCTAAAGACGCACAAGTTTGTCTTCAACACGGTGCACACGTGGGCCAAGGTGCTTGACGCGCTCACGACCTACGACAGCTTGAGCACGAAGCCGTCGTCCTTTGCTATTGGACGCTCGTACGTTACGCCGACGTCGGCAGTGTGGCCTGCGGCGCTTCGCGGCTACCCGCTTGGCCAGTGGTACAAGGTCATGTGCGACGCCGAGACCAACTTGCTCTTGCCGTATCGGACTCAGGAGGCGCTCATCAGCCTCCGGGGTGGTCTCCGGCTGCTGCCCCAAGAGCTCTTGACCGAGTCAACGACCGCGCATGCCTACTGGGACGCATTTCTCACTGCGTACAAGTGCATCTGTTTGAACGCGGCGACGATTCCGCCCAAGTTTGTCATGCCGAGTTCAGAGAGTGTGCCCAAGGTAGCACATGGCTTTTTGCTCGGGGCGGCTATCGCCTCCGTGCGCAGCCACGTCCTATTGCACCCGGCGCACCGAGCGGCGCTCGACAAGCTCGGTCTCGCGTGGTCGACCTCGGTGCCGGAACCGGCAGCTACGGAGCCAGTGGAGATCGCGGAATGGGTGCCGACGCCACGACGCCGGAACTACCGGTGGCCAGACAAGATGCGTGCGCTTGAAGCTTTTAAGGAGCTGCATGGCCACTGCGGCGTGCCCACGGCATTTGTTGTGCCGTCGAGCACCGAGTGGCCTGAGGACCTGCACGGCTGTCGCCTTGGCGCCTTGGTGTCTCGGTTTTTCGCCGAGCCGCGCTCGGTGCCTGCAGATTATGTGCCGTTGATCTCAGCGCTGGCTGTTGTGTCGGTGCCAGGCGACACGATCGTCGCGCCCACAGTCAACGCCGACGGCACGGTTGTCAACGCCTTTGCTAGCTCTGACACCGACACGACAAGCGATTCCAGCGACGCTGACGCAACCTCTGCCGTCGACGCGCCCATGGACGCCACGACCCAAGATGACGCTACTGTCACGGACGGCGAGCGTTTTGGCCGACGCCACCATGGTCGCTGTCCGCACAGATGACGCCGACGAGGACACTCCCGTCGACATGTCTGACGACGCTGCCATCG